ATTGGTGAACAAGATGATCACATTAATTTTGAGCTTGTTAAGAAAAACTTGATAAGTTTAAAAAATGACAAGACTCCTGGACCACATATTAAAGAGTTAGAAATGGGAGCCACTTGCTAATATTTTCATAAGTTTTTGAGTGATGAGCAGGTGCCAGAAGATTAGAAGTTCGCTAATGTCACCTGTGTTCATTTTTGGGCTCTTTGTCTTAAAATGAATGAAATGATGGAAAAGGTTCAAAAAAAGAACTACTAGAATGATACCTGGGTTTCAAAGGTTGTCATATGAAGACAGATTACGACCTCTGAAATTGTTTTTTCTTGAAAAAATAAAAGAGTTAGAATGAATTTGATTGAGGTGTTCAAGATTGTAAAAGGAATTGTTAGTACTGATGCATCATCTTTTTTACATATTTATTGGTGAGGATCATAGGACAAGGGACACAAATACAAATTTTAGTGGGATGGGAATCATCTTCAGCATAGACAAGTTTATTTTTTAACAGGATGGTCAGCCTCTAGAATGGCTTGCTTTCAAGAGTGGTAGATGCTATAGCTGGGCAGTTAACTCGATTAATTGATGTAATTGATTTCTTTGCATTGATTACACCAACTAGTATAATGTAAAATAATCAATTATTCAAAATAATGGTTACATTGATTTATGTCATGAAAATAATCAGTTAATCAGATTTAATGTTTCCAATTATTAATGTTTTTGATTATTCCAGCTATTGAAGTAATCAACATATTACCATTATGGTTTCTCATTATTATTTTCAATTAATTCAAGGTTATTCAGCTTAATTTGCAAGTCTCATGACTCACAAAAATAATCAGTAATCCAAATTAGTGTTTCCAATTATTACTGTTAATTATTCCAACTATCCAAATCTCATGAAAATAATCAATTAGTTGAATGCAACTACTTCCAAGACATACATACCTCCACTGACACTTATAGCTATTTCTCGATCTTCATCTTTGCCATCTAAACATTGTGTTTGCTTGCTCCAGTCTTTATACCCCACTTGACTGCCCTCGACAATATCTAATTTACAAAACTTTACACCGGGCCCTCACATCCCCTCTATG